TAAGATTTTTAATAATCTATAATATATCCTAGACAGATAAGCCGTCTTCGCTCAGAATCGTTTTTTGTATACAATGATATAATTTGAATATACTAAATACTTGTATTGCTGAAATAAATGAATTGAGAAAAGTATTGAAACAATGATATAAGATACAGATATATTATCGATACATCACCGAAATTATACACTAAAGYCTTATAATATATAGGTATTATTAGTATTCCAGGGATGGCCCTCAATTTAATATATAATATTATTTCAATTAATGTTTGAACACTTCATTTTTTGTACACAAAATATTTCTGACATATTATCACATCATTCGGCCAGTTAATATYCGAACATCTATATGACCTTCAGATAGACCATCGTCGAACCGATAACCCTCATACCAATTATAATTTATACATAAGTGTAATGAAACCAATAATAGATTCCTCATATAAACTATACAACCTAACCCAGATAATACCCGATCAATTGCCAAAATCAAAAGTCAAGAGATATACCAAATATTTAGTATTTAGCGTTCACCATTTAACAATAAAAAAAGGTCCTATAGTAATATTATATTTAATGATTACTGTCTGTAGCACCTGCGCACGCTGGTCGTAATACAATAGGTTAAGTAAAATATKTATACGTATGATAATTTTGATTTACCCGAATCCACTCATCAGTCGACAGAATATTAACACTGGATAGATCTGAGATACACTGGATATGATATTGAAAACACCATCCATCGTCATACTCATCATCAAGGCATATCTTCTGCCCCTGGAATCAGCAACGTAACCCCAAATAAAAGACCCCGAGAACATTCCTAAAATTAACCAAACGTGGGATGAATAYATTTCGCCAACGAAGTGACAAAATATACGTACCAATCATCGAAGCTCCGTTGAGAATGCCTTTGTGAATAGAAGTCATTTGAAAATCACATTGTGCTGACGGTACAACAAAGGACACTGACGTCACGCTAATGGCGATCGCCGTGAAAAGTGAACCACAAATAAATAATATGTAATAATGAAAACTTCCAAACCCTATAAAATATGTTAAGATTTGTTAATTTTATATGTACCYATATTTATGTATAAAAAAAATTATAAATTTTAATGTTTCAATATGTAATCACACGCATATACATTTCAAAACTTAATAATATATTAAATTTAGGTTCTAAGTGGAACGATAAAATTATGTGTGTTTTTTCTTATGTCCGGAGTCATCTTTAGGAGGGGTAAAAATACTCCTATCTTAAACTTTGGGGGCAGTTGCTGGTAGCGAGTTAGATCTATTTGATATTTTAATACTTAAGACATTAAAAGTAAAAATTCCCAATACTTATAACAAACAAAAATTGAAAAAAAA